AAATATGAAGAAATCTCTTCTTTTTTTGTATTTACTGTTGTATTCTTCTATGATTAAGCTTTATAATAATAAATTGTTTCTGTATAAGCTAGATCAAGGCACGAAATACTTGTAATTATGTGAAAATATGAAGAAATCTCTTCTTTTTTTTGTATTTACTGTTGTATTCTTCCATAATTAAGCACTATAATAATAAACTGTTTTTGTAACAGTTAGATCAAGACATGAAATACTTGTAATGATGTAAACATATGAAGAAATCTCTTCTTTTTTTGTATTTACTGTTGTATTCTTCTATGATTAAGCTTTATAATAATAAATTGTTTCTGTATAAGCTAGATCAAGGCACGAAATACTTGTAATTATGTGAAAATATGAAGAAATCTCTTCTTTTTTTTGTATTTACTGTTGTATTCTTCCATGAGTAAGCGGTATAATAATAAACTGTTTCTGTAAAAGCTGTTGAATTTCAGGCCCATTGTATATAGTAACACTGATATTATTCAGCAAGGAGAAGTTGCGTCACGTGTTACAAAATCACGCAATTCGTGGCAGAAATATTTAAGGTGACAAAGCTTAAGCTTATTGCAACTTTGTTTGCTAAGTTGACTTGGAAAGTGATATTATTATCCGTGATATATAACAATTGTCAAACAACTATTATACGTACATTATTTTATATTGATATTATAATTATCATTATGATATAACTGTAAATACGAGCAAATGTAAATGTGTTTGTAAAAAAGTAACGCGTAATGTATTTGTAAATGAGTCTATTACCATTGACAATTTTAATTTCGATTGAACAAGGAAAAATATCTTCTGTTCTTAAAAGAAATATGATTTTGAACTCCTACATTGTCGTTGTACAGGAAATCAGGTGAAAATAATTTAGGCACAAAGTGAACACAAAGCATGAAGAAGTTTGAGATATAAGGCAAGTGTCACTGAAAGATGCCCCGAATTTCATTCACATTCTCTCATCACACTAAACTCCGGATAACTTGGCATCGAAGGAAGGCACGCATACCAAATATAATTTCACTCGACAAAATGGAGCACACCTTTAATAAAAATAAATCGTACGCAAAATACTCGTAGTAGGTAAACAAAAACAAAATTCGCGACAAATAGTCTATTCTACTAAATCCTCCGAATTTCATAGCGAAAAGGAATAATCTAAACTACGAAATAATAATTTTATATAATTCAAAAAAAATCTACCATTTTTCTAAACCGTTCAATCTCGTTGTCTTATCGAACTATTATACTTTGACGATCGACTCGCATCGATCTATCCTTCGCGAACTCTTCGAACTCTTCAACAATCAAAAATATGATATTAATTTGTGAAATATTAATTAGCTTCTATAATAAATAAATAAATAAATACTGAACAAACATTGAATTTCTATAGACTTTGCAACGTTGTTTCCTCCTGCTAGATCATCGCCAGACGGTACACATTCTCGGAAATTCGTATTATTATAAATATAATTTACAAAATAGCACTTAGGCAGAAAAATACTTTATCTGTAAAACATTACAAAGGATAAGTGTTTCGTATGTTTCTTCGTATTACGCGTATACTGTGCATTTTTGTATCTTGAAATTTCTCGTAGGTGCATGAGATTCCGCAGAATATTGGTCAGAAATCAAGAGTTTGATCGTCGATCAACATCGATCTGTTCCCTTGAATCACGAATGTATTAATAGCTGGCCAGTTAAATCGATGCCACGCTAGAATCGGATCATCGCATCCGGAATTGGAATCCGCGGGAATGGCGTAACCGTTTTGCAGGAATTCCGCGTTTGCTCGACTCTCGAAAGCAACCGGAAACGGACCACCGATGTCGTTAAACAATGAAAAAGGAATTAATTTTGCCGCGAGATCGAGACGAACTAAACCGTATTCTACGTTATTTTAGAAATTTCGCACCTTTCTTTGTTTCGAACGACAGAACAGAGGTTTAACTGCTAAATAAACAGGAGGAGCTTCAAGGAATTTTAAACGAATTGTACGTTCCACGAGAGTCACGAAAAATAATAGAACGAAAACTCTTCTTGTCTAACAATTTCTATTAAAAGACGACTGCTTTCGAAACGAATGATTTTTTGGTGATTAATTCTTCGGCTCTGTAACATCGAACTATATTTGTCGTATGGATTATGATTCAAATTTTGGAGAAGCATTAGGTTGTCCGGAAAGTTTCTTTCGTTTCATAAGGTGATAATAGACGAACAACAATTTCTGTTTTATATTATTTTATTGAATTAGGTATGATCTATTTCGTGCATAAAATAAAATGCATGCAATAAAATAATATAAAATAAAAAAGAAATGAATAAACATTTCGGACATCCTAATAGATTGAATTTTATAACAGAGTTTAATATAAACTTCAACTCTAGTTTGAATCTTAACTTTCTGGTCTATCAAACTGGGAATTTTACTCGTTGCAAATTGTAAAATTTATCGATATTTGGCATTGTACGCAGTTACACGTTGTAACAGAGAATATTTAGCACTGATTTAAGTAGTTTACTAAAAAATTCTAGTTGTTATACTCAATCGATAGAAGTTTCGTATTAATTATAAACTTCTATGCGTGGTTCAAAATACATGCGATCTTCTGATAAACATTACGTATACGTACACCCATGGTTAAGTGCGTGTAAATTTCATTAATATGTGACTCATATTCTTAAGTTATTTATTAGTTATACGGCCTCCATTTTGAGATCGTAAAAAGAAATTTAGATAAACTTCACAAACATAGATCATCATAAACAAATATACGATATTTTGAAAATATATTTTGATGAAACATATGATTAATTAATACAGATTAAATCGATCGAAAGTCGATAAAAATTCGTTAATTGGTTGAACAGACTCAGTGACGAAACTACAACTATCAAAGGATTCCATTTCATTGTTTCCAATATAACTCGCTTCTCACCTGAAGATCTCATAAACTTCAGGTTTCAAGCTAATCAAAAGAAGTTTGTAGGTTGGCGAGAAACCAAGATACGATACGCTCGAACCGAAAATTCATCCCGACCGACATATCTGGATCGCGAGAATTCGGCCCGAGTCGTCCTGAATTCACTCGCAAATCACGAAACATCCGTTCGGATGTTGGCTCCAGTAAAACCTCACCGCGGCTGTTATTTACAGAGAATCAAGCTCCTCTTTCCTTTCTTTTTCTCTTTTTCTTTCTTCATGGGAAGTTGATTACACGATTTCCGAATTTTATGGTTTGCTGAAAGGCCGTAAAAGTTAACTTTGGACGTTGTATCTTGCTTTCGATGAATTGGAAAGCCCTTCGAACGACTAAGAAAACAGTATGCCCACGATCAACGACGAAAATAGTAACGTTCACCTAGCACCGGGTAAATCGATCATTGGCACGGGATTTATGAAGTCGAGCGTGAGATTTGAAATGATATCGGGAATTACAGTGATCCCTTTTAAAATAGATACAACGGCGAGAAACTGTGTCGTAGCGAATTTCATTTGGAAGTTGTTCTCGGGCTTGCAAATAATTCAGCATGATGGGAACGAATAGAAAAATTTAATGGAGTTTTGGAGATCTATAAACGTACTTCTCGTAGGAATTATTTCACTAAGATGGAATTTTACGAAAAAGAAAAAATTGCACGAGATATTGAAAATACGTTGTAAGATATCTTTAGAAGGTAAATTATTGCTTTAACCCTTTGCACTGGGAATTTTATTTCAATTTCGTTAACAGCAGCTGCCAACGCTTTTAAGTGTTTTATTTGAAATTTACTTTAACTAAAAAATAAGACAATTTAAATAAATAAAGGAAGAAAGAAATTCGCTTAAATAGCAGTTTTATTCGTACTATTGTTGTATTTTGTAATTTCTAAGTGTATGATATTTCTTGAAACAATTTCCAGGATGCAATCCTGCTTTTCTTTCGCGCGTTTCACAAAGGAAAGGTGGATATGAAAAAATGTCGAGTGAGAGTGGGAGCTCCTGAGATAAAAACTGACGTCGAGTCACACTCGACATACAAGTGCAAATGGTTAATGTAATAAAAAATATTTACGAATACGTGGGCTGGTCTCGTATAATACGAGTTTGAAAAATAACAATATCTGTACAACGTGATCTATCGAAATTTCATTCGAAGGTACGATTTACTGTCAGAAATTTTGATTATGAGCACATAAATTCAGCCATCGTTTCATCATACTGCCATCTGAAGGAAATTTATTTTTATCAAACAGCTGTCTCTTGTGTCACGTTATCCGTAGATACTCGAATCATCGAAAGCACGAAATACGTTAACAACGTGTCAAAACAATGTTCTGCAACCTCTTCTAATCAGGATCTGTATATTTCAATATCTCGCCAACTATAATTTAATTTACAATTTGACTATGACATAAAATGAATGTGCCAGATCGTGATGTATGGAATGTCTAATTTTATCAATTTTATAATCTACTCCTTTTTCATTAAATATTTTTATTCTGATAGATAATGTTGTATGAAATATAATTTATAGTAAAACTTCCTCTCTTTTAGACGACTAATATTTTAACTTCTGCTCATATGAACACGTCATTCTTAGAATTCAATGAATTTCGTTCAATTCGATAAAAATTAAAAACTGAAACACGCGTGTCTATACACAAGACAACGATCGAACTGTCGCTTCGCACGTAACGAATAATTTATATCAATTAAATTATATTACTAAAATCTTATTAGAAGACTGCGGAATTTTATGCCTTTGTGATAGGTTCGAGGACGAAAAAATTGACAAAACGATTCGTAAAATACACATAAATATGAAAATACACGTAATAGGCCAAAGTATGCAACGGTAGATACATAAAAATATGTAAAATATCGAGAATGGATTAACGATTATAATATGTAGCAAGTGAAACAAGCATCTGATCATGCTTCGTGCTTTAGTTACGCTCTCGAAAATACGAATTTGCATAAATATCTACAGTCTACTTATCACTGGTGTTACCTGCGATATAGGTTTCAGAGCGTCGATCGATTTCGTGTCGATTTATGGGTCAGTCGATGGCGTTTCGTGGTCGAATCGAAGAGAGCGACACTAGGTAGGAGCGAGGCTCCCCGAAGAAGACGCGCTCGAATTCCCTGGGTTAGCGACTCTGGACTAGGCTACGTGCCGGGTATTCGTGCCGACAAAAATAACGTGCTTTCTGCGTGTGTGCACCGGCCGAAAGAGAGAAGGAGCGAGGGAGAGCATCTCCTCTGGCCATCGCGACACACGGAACAAGATTGCGAGAATACGGAAATCGCGGAACTGACCTGTCCTCGGGGATGGACCAACTCGTCCAATTAATAATAGTAAGTTAGTGTCGTTAGTTATCGAACGTTCGAAGGTAAATTGAAATGATCGATGAGCTTTAAGGGGAGATTTAATTTATCGTAGTTGGAATCTTAGAAATGAAACGAAATTTTTGTTATTAGGAATATTTTTCTCCTTATCTTTCTGTGTGTTTTTTATTTTTTTTATTTTTTTTATTTTTTAATGGAATAATGGATTTAAGTCTACCGTAATTTTGTATCATTCTATTTGTTTCAGTCCATGATTTTTATTCAGTTTGCAATTTTTATTTCATTTGGTGTCCGATTTTTAGGGAAACGAATTGTCTTCGAATGGCGAAGAGTGAAAAGTGAAATGTTTGATGAATCGATTTTCTGGAGGATATAGTATCGACAGGATCATGAAAAGTGAAAAGCGAGATGTTCTTTTATAATTAGACTTCTTCACTCGTTCTATTGTTTTTTGTTATAAAGTATTGGAAAAAGAATGTTGCTTGCCAATGAGTGTGATAGTTTCCCTATTGTATTTACACTGTTGAAATAGCGTTGAATTTATGATTATGGTTTCTTTATAAGCCTGAATCATACTGAATCATAATGATTTATTTTGGAACTTCGATACGTTACGCGTATAATATTAGTAGTTTGCTGGTTACGTTGTTACTAATTCTGTAACGTCGACTGTTTAGATTTCACGTATGTGATCTTAATCTGTAAGTACAGCTTTCTCAATGTTAAGGGTACAATTTCACCTATCGTTTCTCTTAAATGATCAATAAAAAGAGGAGACAAAAATATACGTAGTTGCATGAAACCAACAAAGATCATAACAATCAATTGACATACCAACCACAGCACTAGAAAAGCAACGCACGTATATAGAAATCTTATTTAACACGTATTACATCACTAATCTGCATACGTACAACCAATTTACTATATTTACAGTTGTGTGCAAAAGTTTTCTACCAGACAGATCTTTCACTTTACGTTCTTGTAAAAAATATCTAAACGAATTTGAATTAACACTGGACATGAGAATATGACAAGAGAAAGAAAAATAATTCTAAATAAATACATACCTTTTTAACATTACTCAGAAAAATTCATACAATATAACAAACTTGAGGCTCTTGTAAAAAATATCTAAACGAATTTGTACTAACAGTGGACATAAGAATATTACAAGAGAAAGGAAAATAATTCTAAATAAATGCATACTTCCTTAACATTACTTAGAAAAATTCATACAATATAACAAACTTGAGGCGCTTGTGAAAAATATCTAAACGAATTTGAACTAACAGTGGACATAAGAATATTACAAGACAAAGAAAAATAATTCTAAATAAATACATACTTTTTTTAACATTACAGAGAAAAATTCATACAATATAATAAATATTTTTCATATATTTTCTATGTAATAGCATTTAATCTTGCAATTTTATTTAATATTAGTTAGAGTATCGCGTTTGAAATATAAAGTGAAAGATCTATCTGACCGGAAACGATTGCTTACCGCTGTGAAACAAACACTTCTAGAGATCACGTTCACTCTATTATTGACAGTATCACCATAAAACTACTCGTTGAAACTGTTATTCTTCTTTGCGTTCGATGATTCACGATTCAAAGAAATTTATCGTTCAATCAAAATTAATAAATACCTGATGTTTTACGGATATTTTCTATAAAATGCGAAACATACGTTAGAAAATGAGTATTGAAGCGAACGATCGACTAGACGAATGTTTCTACGTGGATCGTAATACAGTGTACAGGTGGGCGTAGAAACGTCAGATTTAATTGCGCGGCATGTGCACCGACCTAATATTAGTCGTGACTCAAAGTGACTTTTCGTCGGTGAAAGAAGAGAAAAGAGTTTGTTTAGTCGCCCTGGTTAAAAATAAGACCCCTCCCTTCTATATTACAGCCGAGTTCGGGGTAATGGATCATGGGATATCGCCTGTTCACGAATATCCTCGTCAAAAAGAGTTTACTCGACGCCAAAACGGAAAGCGATATTTATCGTCGGGATGAATGTTGATAAAAGATTCAAATTACGTCCAGCTACTATCATTTTTAATAAAAATAGCTGATTTCATCGTGTTTATGGGAAAATATAGGGCAGATTTTAAGGGGGGAAAAAAGAGAGCGGTAGAAAATAAGTGAAAATTCAGGAGAAGACAGTATAGAAATTTATAAATAAACAAACTTCATTGTAAAGGCGACAAAAATGTAGGATTTTCAAAAAGTGTCAAAAATCCATGGAAACCACGAATAAACCATTTTTATGTGAAATTATCGTTATGAAAATTGCTAAAATGAAAGTAAAATAAGTTGGAACAAAAACAGGAAAATTCAAAAGGACGCACAAATAGGAAATTCAATAGAAGCCGATGAAAAAGCAAGCAACCCTTTCCCACTACAAAATTACAATTACGACGAAAGTAAAACGTACGAGGGGGAGGGTAAACAAATACGAAAATTGAATAAAAAGGAGGAGAAGAAATTAAAAATTCAGTAAAATCAACGAAATTGGATAGAAAAAGATAAACAACCCTCTCTTTGTCTATATAAAAAGCACAATTGTAACAGGACCAAAAATAGAAAAATAGAAAATTAGAACAATAGAAAACTTTAGAAATACGCAAATAAGAAATTTATGTAAAAACGATACAAGAGATACAATTTGATAGAAATAACAACACGTCAATAGAAAAATCAAAGATATTCGACCATGATATTTAAACAAATATCTCATAGCGAAGGTCACTGAAAATTGCGCGGGCTCAGCGTTGCAACGAAACAACCAAAACTTCGAGACGCTGGCAAACGGGTGGTCGCGTGATTTTTCTCGCGGAAACCAACGAGAACGAACGGTGTCAAATTTCAGAGAGACCCGTTGCTGTCGCAACATCCCGCTGCTACGTATCATAATCTTTCATCCATTCGTATCGTTCGTTCGTTGCGACATCTCGCTTTTCCGGTGATACTGTTCTTCTATGTGGAAGCAGTGTGTCAGCTACCTGGTGAATGAAGCTGCCATTCGATTTGCATAGACGCGTATTAATAACTCGTGACACCGTTGTCGGTTTCGACGATATTTTGGCTACGCGCGAACTAATTTACTGTAACGCGGTTGGCAATAAAAATCGCTTCGTTTCCGAAAGATCGACATCGCCTAGAATTAACCGCGAATATTCCACGCTGTTCGACGTTGCGGAATTTCTGTTCGTTTAAAATCGAGCCGCGACGAAAACATACGAGAGACGAATATTTTTATTTTCCAAGACTAAATACGTTAAGAGCAACGATGTAGTAGTTTGTATCCAATGATGAACGAGTTCATTGATGTTCACGCGTAAGAAAGTCATAAACGGTAAGATAAATACGAGTATTTGTCTGGTTGTTACTGTAACGAGTAGAGAAAATTGTGTGATAAAAGTTTAAGGGAAGGTGCAAGATTATAATTTAGGAAGATAGCGTAGGAAATATTTAGCGCAAAGGTGAAATGGTTGAAGATTGTAAAATATAGCAGGTTGCCAAGATTGATGATAATTTGATGGATAAAAAATGAAAATTTATATTCCATTAAAAATTTACTACGTTATGCTGGAAAACGTTATGTCGATTTAAAAAATGAAGAAATTAAGCGAGGAATAAAGCGTGCAAGTTATAGATGCGTTCAGCAAACGTTGTGTTATAATATTATAGGTACCAGTAGTATGATATAATAGTAGTTGCGAATAATAAAATGATACACATTCTTTTCTTTTGTTCCTGACAAGGGATACGTTTGCTTAAGAATTGTCAAGGTCAGATTTAATTGCTTACCAATATCTAAACGAGCACTGCAAATCGCCTTGCCAGCAGCGTTCTCCGCCACGCAGGAAATCGTACCAACATGCGTGCTTCCGGTCTCTGGAATCGTCAACACCTGTCGATCACCGCTGACCGACACCAAGAAGTCCTTGCCATGAACAGGACGATCGTTAAATAGCCATTGAATCTGAAAGTCACCATATCAACTCACTTAATTACATTTTATTTCTCGAGATCTATCGATTTGTTGCTTAAAAGTCTCATCCCTTAGAGAAGTTGGATTTATATAATTAAAAGAATAATTGTATATTCGTAACCATAACACGTTTGATGTAGGAAAAATATCGATCTAATTGTATCGATCACAATAAAACCAGCGATTCCATGCAAAAGATTAACGTAAATAAAAGTCCCAACCTTGAGCCAAGTTTAAAAAGCTCGTAGAAGAAAAACAACTTTCTCATCGTCCGACGGTAAACGAAGCATCGTTGCAAAGCTACGAACGAGACCGCGTACTCGAGATCGATTGCATCACAAAATTCCGAAATATAAACTACTTTTGCTTGTGGATGTTCAATCCACGAACGACACAGAAAATTCCACGAAATGTTCGGCGTGTTCGAACGAACGAACCAGTTTCTACAGTTCCGAGTGCCGATTACGTACGATATCTGATGGATCGTACCAGGAAATTCTATTAATTATACAATCTGTAAGTACACGCGTATAAAATCAATACTAAAATGCTATTTATTGCTAGCACGCAAAATTCTTTCGATCATTCTGCATACTGAAATAAAGGCAGCTGCGTAATTCGTATTCTCGTCGATTATACATAGAGCGTTGATCGTAAATCAATAGTTTCACAATATTCAAATCGGAAATAATCCGATGGAAAGTTCACGAACGAAACGATATCGATACCTGATCCGCGAGTGTCACTAAAAATTTCGCGGAGAACCTCGCGGCGCGGCTGCACCCGCGAATTTCCACATCAGGTACATTGTTCCCGTTTAAATATAACCCGGAGGCACGAAATTACTCTTGGTCGGCCACCTCCTGACAGGCTGGCCAACTCTGCGCCCCATCTTTTACGCGTCCCTCGACACCTTCGACAAACGGATCCAAGATGCGGCGCCGCGATTCGACACTCGTCTATTCGCCTGGTCTCCTCCCATCGAACAGTAGTCGTGAACATTTCGTAACATTTAGCGCGTTGATGCGAGTTCCACGTGGTTCGAAGGTTGTGACACATTTTTCTTTGTTGATATAGTAGTTGGGTGTCTGAGGCTAAGAGCTACGCTTTAGCTACGTTTAAACAGTAGATTTTTATGTATTTTATGTATTTACAGAAAAATTAAAGCTGCAAAATATGAAACAGTATGGGGGCTACTTATTTTCTAACGAAAAGATTCTTCATCAGGTTCTATATTTCATCTTTGTACTATCAAATTTTTGTAGTCGTAAAGGATATTGGTTAATGATATGATATTTTATATAGTTGGACCTATTTGAGCGATGTGCAGTTGCTATAATAAATACAATGGTGGGAATACGTTTTGTAGCCACTGTATAAAATATGTAAATTATTAATAGTAACAGTAGATTTTTTGTATTTTATGTATTTGCAGAAAATTTAAAGCTGCAAAATATGAAACAGTATGGGGGCTACTTATTTTCTAACGAAACGATTCTTCATCAGGTTCTATATTTCATCTTTGTACTATCAAATATTTGTAGTCGTAAAGGATATTGTTTAATGATATGATATTTGATATAGTTGGACCTATTTGAGCGATGTGCAGTTGCTATAATAAATACAATGGTGGGAATACGTTTTGTAGTACTACTGTATAAAATATGTAAAATATTGTTGTCATTATAATATTTGATGGGTGGAAGAAATTTCAGTCTAGATCCTAGTATTCTAATTGTGTTCGTAGAAATATGAATTTGCATAGAAATTACGATTATTATGATTTTATTCAGACTATGAGAGTCCGATATTTATTTAACGATATTCAAAATTGTTTTGTGATTTTCTTGTGACAGATGGCTTTTTCTACGGTTGGAAGTTAGCGACGTTAATCGTATATTTGCAAATTATGGTCAAGTAGGCCTTCGATGATACTGAAAGCGATATTATAGTAACGATATACATACAATGATACTAATAGCGAACTGTTTCACTTAACACAGGATCTAGTTTTTAAATATCAGTGTATCTTCTATTTCGCTGTTATATTCCTCAGGGTTTTGTAGTTGAAAAAGCCTACAATTTTGGTAAGAAGTATTTGAATTGAATGTACGAAACATAGTGGAATTCAAAAATGGATAATAACTTTTATAATACTTTGTAATAATTGAGAAAGTGGTTCGATCATAAATCCTTCAGTTCTGCGTTATAAGATACGAAGAATTGACAATTATTATTAGATTGAAATTGGAATTATTAATCCAAATACGATATACATAAATAATCGTTAATTATTTGAAGATTGTATAATAAGGAAAATAATATTCTTTTTCCAAACAATCAAGAATTATTCACGTATATATCGTACTCGACCTAATAATTATAATTTGCATATCTCAAAATTCAAAACAAAAGGTATATAACTTACTTTCGGAGCTGGTTTCCCAACTACAATACACTCGAATTTCGTAGAAACGCCCTCTGACACTCTTCTGTCTTCAAACTTTTCCTTAAACGTAGGAGCGATCAATTTCTCTTCCATTTGCACGAATTCTTCCTTTCTCCTAAAGTCACCCAACGATCTCACGACCAAACGTGCGAAAGCTTTCGCCTCTCCGTGCGCGTTAAACGCTTTGACCACGTAATTCCCTTTATCCTCGGGGATCGTCGAAGAAATCTTCAGAATACTCGTTCCATCTTGCCTCCGCTGGATCTGAATCATCAAAACACAGTAGGATATAAAGTTGGGGATTATTTAAATATTTCGTACAGGCAGCAGTAGTTAATTTAACATGGAAGGGCAAACATTAGCGAGAAATACGAGGAAGAAAAATAAATTTGACAGTAGAAAATAACGTTCTTCAAAGAACACGATCATCGAGCCTTTTTTTAAATTTTGATTATTTGTATTCGCGTATCGCGTACATTACGTGACATTGCGTTTAGCAAATAACTTTTTAAAAATAATTTATCTTTCGAAAGCTGCTCGCCTGATTGTTCTTGGTTCTGAAGCAACCGCGTGCGTGTTTCTTCGATATCTCATTGAATTTTATTTTAGCAAACACTCACCAGGATACGTTCGTTCTCGGTGATCTCGCCACTGTCAGAGAACCATCTGAGTTCTGGTTTCGGTTCTCCAACTACCGCACACTCAAAAGTGGCGGTCTC